GGCAGCTATCCTGCCATAGATGGCCGTGTTCCTCCATCTAGTGCAGAGATTGTGGACATTGGGGGCATCCCTCCCAAACCTGAATAAGGTCCATGATCTCCACCCTGGACTAGGAAGGTGTCCGTCTTTTCAGCTCCTGGGTCAGCTCCTGGGAGCTGGCAGACTGCTCCTGGGGAGCGGTGGAGGACTGGCTGCCAGTGGCTTGCTGGCTCATGTTTTGGGGCCACTGGGTCAGGGGCAGTGACAGCTGGCTCTGGGCTGGCAGGCTTGGAGCTGGCATAGGCACTGTGGACAGAGTCTACTCCTTTAAGAGCTCGGGGGGGGGGGCGGGGAATGAGGGGGGAATGAGAGAGAAGGCTGGAGGCCGCCTATTTCGAAATAAGTGTCTACCCAGCACTTATTTCGAAACAGTTATTTCAAATTTGATAAACCTCATTCTACGAGGAATAACATCAAATTTGAAATAACTGTTTCGAAATAAGTGCTGGGTAGACACTTATTTCGAAATAGTTATTTCAAATTTGATAAACCTCATTCTACGAGGAATAACATCAAATTTGAAATAAGCTCTCCACTATTTCGAATTTATTTCGAAATAGCGGTTTGGCCGTGTAGATGCTAGGAAAGTTATTTCGAAATAAGGTCTGTTATTTTGAAATAACTTTGCTGTGTAGATGTACCCTAAGACATTATATGCTAAATGACACATTTGTTTATGTGGGCCACACAGTCAAAAATGCTAAACTGCAAAAGAAAGTATTTTGCATAACACACATAAAACTAAGTCTGAGCTCTTTGAATAAATGCTTTGCATATCCCCTAGGTCAGCAACTGCATTTTTTCAATCTATAGAAAAGTAAGACAAGGAATTCTGGAATTTTCAGTAAGAAGTGAGAAATTATTTGGATTATAACACAAGACAACACATTCAAAGACAGAAAGAAAACATCCACCTTTGTCAGTTAAAATCTCAGTAGAGACATTTGGATATAAAGTACAATTAATTATAAGTATAGTATATTCACTATAATGGCTTCATTATTTCAGCTGACTGCATTTAATAGAGCAAAATGCATAGGACAAGTTCTTCAGCATCCAATAAAATCTTTGCAGATTGATAAATCACAAAAACATATGAGTACAATAATTGTAAATAAAAAAAAAGTGACCTGGCTAATATCTTCAGTATCAAATATTAACTAATAAAGGAAAGGGCTACATTTTCTTCCAGTGTAAATTAGTGCTGCAACATTAACATCCACCCTAGGTATTTAAGAAAACAAAATCAGTCCGTCTTTAGGACTCACTTTTCATGGTTAGAGAAGATAAAATTAAGCATGATGTTGTGATGAGTTTGTTGGCAGCTAACACTGTATCTGCATTGGTGTTAGGATATGCTGTGAGCTTTCCGTACATGATAAGAGAGCATCAAACAGGCAACAAAAGTGCATTGGGAAATATCCCAGGAAATGTCCTGCAGGAACTGAGGTTTATTGCACTAGTCTAGCATCATATTCTGGACTGCATGTTTCATGCATGTTTCTAACCTATTTTTCCTTTCTCACTGATTATTCTGATGAGGAAAATACTTAAGAGTAGAACTAGGCTGATGTACTGTTCAGATTGGATTTGAAGTTCAGATGTGAAATCAAATCAGACTGAATATGGGATCAAAATCAGTTGTGCTGAAAACCCATGAACTGTGCTCATTAGATTTCAGTCCA